GGGGTGGGGGTGACGAGGGGGTGAGGGTTGGGTGGGGTGGGTTGGGGTGCGAAAGCCGGCCCCGCCTCGCCTCACTCTCAGGCTGACTGTGGCCCTACGCCCTCAGGTACCTGGAGAAGTACCTGGAGCGCTTCCTGGAGACTGCGGAGCAGCACTTCATGGTGGGCCAGCGCGTGGTGTACTACGTGTTTACCGAGCGGCCAGGCGCTGTGCCCCGCGTGGCGCTGGGCCCAGACCGGCGGCTGCGCGTGGAGCGCGTGGTGCGCGAGCGGCGCTGGCAGGACGTGTCGATGGCGCGCATGCGCACGCTGCACGCGGCGCTGGGCGGGTGGCTGGGCCGCGAGGCGCACTTCGTGTTCTGCATGGACATAGACCAGCACTTCAGCGGCGCGTTCGGGCCTGAGGCGCTGGCCGAGTCGGTGGCGCAGCTGCACTCCTGGCACTACCACTGGCCGCGGTGGCTACTGCCCTTCGAGCGCGACGCGCGCTCGGCCGCCGCGCTGACGCGGGGCGAGGGCGACTTCTACTACCATGCGGCGGTGTTCGGGGGCAGCGTGGCGGCGCTGCGCGGGCTGACGGCACACTGTGCGCTGGGCCTGGCTTGGGACCGCGCGCGGGGTCTGGAGGCGCGCTGGCACGACGAGAGCCACCTCAACAAGTTCTTCTGGCTGCACAAGCCCGCCAAGGTGCTGTCGCCCGAGTTCTGCTGGAGCCCCGACATTGGCCCGCGGGCCGAGATCCGCCGCCCGCGCCTGCTCTGGGCACCCAAGGAGTACCGGCTGCTGCGGGACTAGCGCCGCCGTCCGCCCTCCGGCCCCTCCGCGGGCCCAGCCGGCCAGGTCCCGCTCCTGTTCCGGGGGTCTTTGGCCCCGGAAGACGTGGAGTGGGAGTCACCAGAGGGAGAGATCCTGAAACCCGGCGGGCCCCTTCTGGATGCTGATGGCGCTCTGGAGGGCAGAGAGATACTGGATGCAAAAGCCCTACCCGCTCCGTGTGTGCCCGTCCGTGGGAGTGGGAGAAGGAGCTCCTTGCATTTGGGGAGCTCTTCACTTGAAGACAAAAATCCCCTTCCCTTACTTTAGCAGTGAGCGAGACAAAAACTACAGTAGTACCTCGATCGAGGAGCCTCTAGACCTTTCACTTCGATCCTGCAGAATGCAGCTGGTGTCTCTGGAGATGTTTTAGTCCCACCTGCCCCCCCGTACCTCTTCTTTTAAATAAGGAGACTGAGGCACAAAGAGGGAACATAACTGCCCAACGACACAGAGGGTCTGAGTCACTGTGATGTCAGCGACTGGAAAGGCGTGGCTGGCTCCTTGGGATGCCTCTGGGCAAGAGCCACAGGAAGAAACACAGATGGCGCCCCGTCATTGGCTCTGCCCTTTTACCTCCCCTGCCTATAAACATGGTTTGTACATATCTCAGTAATATGATGATAAATTATTCCTGCGCCGTGAAACAAAGTAGCAAATGTAAGAAGCCATGTTTGCTCCTTTCGCTTGCCAGCATAATTTCACAAAGCCCTGATTGTGACAGCATATAGCTGTCAAAACAAAAACACAGCTCCCCACGTCCCTGGCTCTAGTCACTATATTCCCTAAAAACTAAGTGACTCTAGATATATCTACATATAAGGTAATGTTGGTTGGGGTTAGTGATTATGCTTCTATAAACTATAACCAGATACACTCTTGCACACAAACTTAGATATAATTTTACACATATTAAAGCTTCTCTACCTATATATAAACTCTAAACTAAAATACTACATTCAGGCCGGGCATAGTGGCTCACACCTGTAATCTCAGCACTTTGGGAGGTTGAGGCAGGCGGATTACTTGAGGTTAGGAGTTCTAGACCAGCCTGGCCAACATGACGAAACCACGTCTCTACAAAAATACAAATATTAGCCAGGCATGGTGGCACACGCCTGTAATCCCAGCCACTCAGGAGGCTGAGGCATAAGAATCGCTTGAATCCAGGAGGTGCAGGTTGCAGTGAGCTGAGATCGCGTCACTGCACTCCAGTCTGAGCGACAGAGCTCAATAAATAAAATACTACATTCAAAGCATCCGATAGAACCTCTCTAAAGAGCTGCTGCTGGGGCTGTAGGCCTTGGTCAATGGTCCTCAGTAAGACTTCTAAGAAACACTAA